TTTGGCACTGTTTAGACACTGTTTGGCACTGTTTAGTACTGTTTAACAATGCTTTGATGTAGATTTCTTTGCCAAATAAGGAAATAAGGAAGTGTGAAGTTTATTTTAGACCGGCCCAAAAAGGAAAGTGTGAAGTTTATTTAGAACCAGAGGGAGTAAATCTAAGCGACGTCAACAACATCATGTCTTTTCTATTGAGAAAGGCACTGACGTGGCGACGTTAGTTATAGACAACGAGCTTGACCAGAAAGGAGACAAAGTTAGGACTAGCGACATGAACGGATATATAGCAAGCCCGCCAGAGAAGCTTTTGGCTATACAATGTCCTTCTTCTCCATCTTCTTTTAATCTATGTGATGTCGGAAGTGGGTCACCAAAAACCATCATGTTACTCCCTTCCTTTGATGATAATGATGATGATAGGAGGAACTTCACACCACACATTCTCCACGTAAACTTTTACTCGATTGCCCGGTAAGAAACCAACTAGAAGGCTGGATTAGGTGTGTTTTTTATTGTTTAAGGATTTGATTGATAAATTTTATAGTACAAAGACTTAATTGCCATTTTAACTTTAGTACGAGAGTTGATGTGAGTTTTCTCGCACTTAAAATAAATAGTAGAATAGTGGTGTAAGTACGAGTATCCTCTCCACAAGGACGGAAAAGGGGAATTAAGTATTAATTAAATTCAGCGATTAAAAAGAAATAAAATAAATGCAATTGTGCGAGATTGGTTGATTTGGAAATTAAGAAAGAAAAAAACAAACGATTAAACTAAGGGGTTCTTTCTAATTAATGACGAAGGAACAAGGATTGATTCATGGGTAACCAGATTTCTGGTTGATCATGCTTAATTACATGAAATTAATTTAATTGAGCAACGCTAATCAATACTAAGTTCTTATCACTCTCGCGACGTATAGTACAATAATTTAGGGAACCACGCTGATCTCGCATGCGACGTGTAGCTAAATTATTTCCAAAACGAGCGAGCGTACGGCCCCTTAATAACTACTAATCTCTTAATTTATTCTACAAGCAACTGTGTAATTCTAGTTGCAGTTCTAGGTTACAAGAGATATCAATTAAATCATTCAAACACAAATTAACGACATTCACGCAATTGATCCATCATGAATTTAGCCATACATTATGATTAATCTCTTCATCAATCCCAAATCCCTAATTAAAACTACAGACAACTCACAATTGAAGAATCAATAAAATTGGGATGAAAAGAACTAATTGTCATTAATAAAAAAGTAGGAACTTAAAAATAATCCCAGAGTCTTGAAGAACAAAGCAAAAAAATACGTAAAAATTCATCCCTAGGCCTCTCTCTAAGCTTCGTCACCTCAAAATAGGGGTTTAGAGGCCTTACTTATAGAAAACGGGGAAATTTGGGTTAAATTAGGACTTTCCGGGGCAGGCATGACGCTAGGCACGACGTTCCTGGTGTTCGTGCCTCCGGAGTAAAACGCACGTCCCGAGGTCAGACACGGCGAGCCTCTCTAGCACGCACGACGTGCCTAACCGGCAGTAAGGTCTTCATGATTTTCTTCTTCCGCGAATGACGTGTGTACTTCGGGCGCACAACGTGCGTATTTCCCTTCCGAACATGACAATGCTTCATTCACGAAAGTTGTATATAATGAAGTAAGCTATCCACCAGAACTTGCAAAACTGGATTTAAACCATCCCATCAAAAGATATATATAAAATGGTGGAAGGTCGCATTCTGAAATCGCAACAACGATTATCTGACTTCCTCGTCTGTTTTCACCCTTCTCCTCTCAGATTCTCGGCATGGTGTCTTCATATGATTTGTATCTCTTGAAGTTGGTTTTCATATATAACTTGAATAGTGTACGATGGATGTTTCTACAAAAAGATATGCTTGAACGATTGACAGAACGTCATCCTGATCGCCGTTTTTAAGCTTTATCCGTCTTCTTCTGATCCTGTAGCCAATCCTAGAGCTCTTTAGTCCTCAAACCTCCGACTTTAACACCTCATTGACCTCAATGCTCCTAATCAACTCTCAAATGCGTCTCAACTCTCTCGGTTACTTCTCAAACGCCGGTGCCGAGCTCAAATTCTCTGATTTTGACTCCAAAATACCAAACACGAACCAACGCCCGGTAAAATATGCCTTGAGCTAAAAATGAGACTTATGACACCTTAAAGCTAGTTAAGCCATCAAAAGATGATCTCAACACACATCAAATGCATGTCGAAATACGGACTTATCAAGAACCAATTTGATAGTTTTTCAAAGTATTTTCTAATAAGTTTACAACATCCAATAATTTGGTATGGATATTACGTAATGTTGAGTTTACAATTAATGTTGTATCATCTTCTTATTAGTTGATAGGAAAATTCATCAATCAATACCTTTAGTGTAGATCCACAACTTACGGTAGCAAGTAATCACGATAACAATAACAGAGAAATCATCATGTCAGGCCGGCCTGACCGGGAGAGCCGTCCGGACGAGCCCTTTTGGCAACCTTCACGGTGAAATTTTTTGAGCATGTTCCTTATCAAGTCTAGTTTTTCCATACCAAATTTCAGTTCAAAATTCGATCGGGAAGGCATTCAAATCTTTTTTGGAAGTTGACTGCGTTTTTATATGTATATTTTGACGCAGTCAACTTCATAAAAAGATTTGAATTAAAAAGATTTGAATGCCTTCCTGATCGAATTTTGAGCTGAAATTTGGTATGGACAAACTAGACTTGATGAGGAACATGCTCAGAAAATTTCATCAAAAAATTCCACCGAAAAGGTGCCCAAACGGGCTCGGCCGGACGGAGGTTCCCGTCAGGCCGGTCTGACAAGAAGAGTTCTCAACAATAACATATACATATACAATGTAACTAGTGTAACATTGGGGCATGCCAGGGCCAACTGGAGAATCTTGGATTATAGAGGCAAGCCATTAGCCATTTTTTATTAGGGCTAATGGCTTTTAATACGTATTCAAACATTACAAAGGATTATTAGGCCTTTATTGGGGGCAACTCCCCCCCTCATGCCTTACTAGACCCGCCCTAGGGGCATCAGAGGATGCCCTAATAGTGTCATGTTAATGTGATTTAAAATAGTAAATATTAATAGATGGTGTGCATTGTTTACAAAACTTGTTAATGATATTTTTATGTTGAAAAAAGAATATGTTTATTAATATTTTATTGAGAAATGAGAAAGATGATTTTAAAAAATTGATGTGTATGTGAGTTATTAATCTTTTGGTTTAGTCACATTATTATTATTACGTAGTATTTATTTTATGTTTATGAAAACATTAGTTTATAAAGGTTCATACATAACATGAAAATTCATAGCATTTGAGTGCTAATGATGCGGTAACAATAAGAATTGATATTAGGTCAATGTTCTTGGCAAAACATATATGTAATACTCCCTCCGGTTTTTAATAAACTTCACACTTTCCTTTTTGGGACGGTCTAAAATAAACTTCACACTTCCTTATTTCCTTTTTTTGGCAAAGAAATCTACATCAAAACAGTGCCAAACAGTGCCAAACAGTGTCTCAACAGTGCCAAACAGTGTCTCTACAGTGCCAAACAGTGCCTCAACAGTGCCTCAACAGTGTATTCTACAGTAAAGTCAAATTTCTTTCCTTATTTTGTGTGAAGTCAAACTGTGAAGATTAAAAAAAAATGGAGGTAGTATGTAATAGTTAGGTTCAACTGCAAATATATGATATCACTTTAGCAAAAACATTCACGATATAAGTAATTAAGGGAGGTGTTTAGAAAATCTCGTTTCAACTAAAAATAATGATTATCACAAAAAAAACTAAAAATAGTGGTTTGACCTTTTGTCAGTGCGCATTTTCAATCAGTTACGTGATACGTGGATCCATGTTGTTTAGTTAATAGATATTCGACTATAACGTTTTTTGTCAGAATCACATAAATAAAAACGTTACAAATAGCGGCACTTTGAATTTAACATTTTGAAACAGAGCATTTTCTACTAACTGCTATGGTCCACAATTGAAGTAAAAAACATCTTTTTGCAACCTGACATCTCATTTCGCTAATCATTCCCACCTCTTGCATTTTCTCTTTCATATCTACTCATACGATGTAAAAGGTTTGGGGCAAGAACATTGACCTATATCAACTTATGAGAATATATTACAAGGAACCACTTATAAGAGTATATTTTTCTTTCCCACAATTAGAGCATCTTCAATGCTAAAACGTGAACGGTGCATATGTGGCATGCAAGATAGTCAATTAAAAAATAATAAATAGAATATCTCTCTCTTTATTTGAAGGATTTTGTATCATTTTGGTAAGTTTTTCTTCACAATGTCAAGCACAATGTCTAGATGTAGATATTGTGCTTGACATTGCAGAGAAAAATTTACCAAAAACACATAATACCGTGGAAAGAATGAGAGAGAAATGTCATAAATTCAATTTTGGTAAATTCTATGGTACCCATAAGGTACCATACATTTGTCCACATGGACCAATGGGAATATTGCAGTTGAATTATTTAAATTTAAATTAAAAGTGATAAAGTGATGTGGTCCAATCAAATGAATGATAGGTACGGTACCCCATTTTTTAAAAGGGTACCGGAGTTGTCACCTTCAATTTTTTGTGTCTATCTCTCTCATGCCACATGTGTACCGTGCACATTGTAGCATTGGAGATGCTCTTAGATTGAATTCACAGAAAGCCTCCTTTGCAAGTATGTCCATTCCTTAAAAAAATACTCCATAGTAATTACTTCATCCGCTATTAAATAAATGCAACAGTCAACATTTCACATTTGTCGAGACATAACTTTGATCATTAATATATATAATTCCGTATTAGTAAAAAAATTAAAAAAACTAGATTTTGAAAATTTACAATGAGATAACTTTTTTCATAAAAAAATATTAATACATTAATCAATAAAACATAGTTAAAGTACAAAACGTGAATAATATAAAATTTAACATGTTGCATTTATTTAAGAACGAGATAATATTAATTTACTTTTTATATAGGTAAACGATTATTCTACTAATCAAATACTACGTATTATCAAAAAGAGAAGGGAAAAGAGTACCGATTTATGAAAAGGGGTTTTTAGGATATTACTAATTTTGAACCATTTATCCAAAAAGTGACCACTTTTAAAAAGGGGCAAAAAAGTGATCAAGAAAGTCATATATGTGCAATTAGAAAACATGATGTAACTGTAAAAATTTTATGTCACTATATTCGTTTTTTTTTGTAACTACATCCACTGCCCATGTCACTGTAGCCATCGCTCGTGTCACTATAGCCGCCGCCTGTGTCACTGTAGCCACCGCATGTGTCACTGTAGCCACCACCCGTGTCACTTTAGCCACCACCCGTGTCACTTTAGCCCGTGTCATAATCAGATTTTAATGTCACTATTCAATTTTAATGTCACTATCAAATGTTACTGGCACCACCTTCGGTGTCACTGTAGCCACTGCCCGTGTCACTGTAGCCACCGCCCGTGTCACTGTAGCCACCGCCCGTGTCACTGTAGCCAGCGTCAGTGTCACTGTGTCACGTGTAACATGTCACTATGTCACTGGAAAATTTTCCGGCAACTTTTTCCGGTGAAAGTGTGATAGAACCTCCATCATAGTTTCCGTTCCAGAAACCGCCGCCACCGTGACAGCCACCCTCCCCAACCCTAACCATGTCCGGCTAGTCGTGACAACAAAAAACACTGATGCATCCCCACCACGTACTGCCATCGAGTCTACCGCCGCCGTCGATAGCTCATAGCATAACCTCCTTCGCCCCCAAATCACCCCTCCCCTGCCCCTAGCCCCCTCCCTAGTCCCTCCCTACCTTCCCTTGGCCCAAATCTTGTCCCAAGCCACCGCAATACCCCCAACCCTAGCTGTTCCAACTGGATCTGGATCAACCGCCGGTGATGCTCCTCGCCGCCAGAGCGCCGCACGACATCTCTTAGAAATCATAGGTATCACAGATCTGAACGTTGGCGATGACGACAGAAACAATCCGTCTACTCCGTCCACGAAAACAGATGACGACGGCCAAGGAGATGACGACGGCCAGGGAGGCGACTGGATCTGGAAAGGACGGAGAAGACCAGGGCGGCGGCGGTGATTATTCTGCTGTCCGCGGAGGGCGATGGCGAGGACAAGACGGTCGGATTGCTCTGTTCGTAGAGGAGCTCCATGTCTTTGTGTTGATGTATTGCTCCATCTCTGGCGGAGTTCCATGTCCTTGAGTGCACCAAGAAGAAAACGGGAGGCCACTCCGCAAGATATTGAGCGCACAAAGAAGGAATTAAAACGGAAGGCCTGGGTGAGATGTTTTGGCTTTGGTAGTATTTGGTCAAATAGAAATTTAGTCATATTTTTGTCTATGCAAACTCCAGGGATAATATTCATGCCATTGTTTCTTATGAAAACCGATGGAAAAGCCACAATTTCTATGAAATGGAAAGTATAGGTAGCTGTAACTCCTGTAAGATATTATTAATTGAGTCCTTTTCCTATCCGGTTAGGCCGTACAGGAGGCTCGCCTGGCCACCTCAATTTGAGGTGGTTCCCGATGGTATTTTTGGCTCAATTTTTTTCGTATGTTCCTTATCAAGTGTAGTTCATCCATACCAAATTTGAGCAAACAATTCAATCGGGAAGGTCGTCAAATGATTTTTGCAAGTTAACTGGTCCGGAATATACATATAAAACGCAGTGAACTTGCAAAAACCATTTGAAGACCTTCTCGATTGAATTTTTTGCTCAAATTTTGTATGAATGAACTAGACTTGATGAGCAACATACACAAAAAATTTGGACAAACAATACCACCGGGAACCACCTCAAATTGAGGTGGCCGGACAGGGGAGTGGTCCGGCCTGACCGGACCTGAATAATTCTCTTATTAATTAGATTTTTTACCGATTTAGTATAGGGGCAAATAAGATATTTTAAATATTTTTTTTTAATTTTCAAATTGAAGTAGGTAGTTGTAATTCACTGTAAATAATAATGGGAAAAGTGTCAAATAGGTCCATCTACTTTTAACAAAAAGTCAATCAAGTCCACATACTCTTTACTAAGTCAATTAAGTCCTGCAAGTATGCAAAAATCACCAAATTGGCATTTTTATAGGTCATCTACCAGTTAGCCGGTTGATTGCTGACATGGACATCCATGGTAGCCTTTTTTTATTGTTTCATAATTTTTTTTCTTTTCCATTTTCTCTTTCCTTTTTTTTTTTCTCATTTCCACTCTTGGTTTCTTCTTTCTGCGTACAGGTCAGCTACTTTTCCAGGCCTCCAGATCCACGCATCTGTAATCCGCTCCAGCCTCCACCATCCCGAGTCCCGACCTCCGCTGCCCTACCGCCATACCCACCGTCTCTGCGGTCTTCGCCTCCAGCTCATCTACTGCAGCGACCTCTGCCTCCCCGGCCTCCATAGCCACCGCCTCTAAGGTCTCTCCTCCGCCACCCCTACATCCATAGTCACTAACTTCAAGTCTCTATCTCTTGCCCCTACCTCCATAGCCAGGCCCTCACACCCGTCCTCCAACCTACACCCTTGCCGCCCTTGCTACATAACCACCTATCCCTTTAGTTTCATCGTGATTGCCATCAGTTTAGGCAAGAAAGAAAAAGAAAATTGAGATTAGGACAGGTTGACGAGAAGCGGAAGAGGCGTAGACTTGGAATGATGAAGAAAAAGGAATTGCCATTAATGGAGTTAAGCTGGGCTGAGGGCTAAAAGAGATGGGAGAATAAGTGAATAACGAAAGAAAGAGAAAAAGGAGGGAGAAAGAAAAGAGAGAGAAAGATATAGAAAAAGAAAAGAAACATTATACTAAAAAATTAGAAAACCTTAAAAAACACCAGCTGGGCATACATGCTGGCAAGTTACCGGGTAACCGTTTGGTTACCTGTAAAATGGCTGATTTGGTTAATTTTTTACACTTCGCGGACTTAATTGACTCGTTAAAAAGTATATGAACTCAATTGACTTTTTATTAAAAGTAGGTGGACTTATTGGACAATTTTTCCAATAATAATCTTGTGGCTGAACATAATCACCCTTTGGTCAATTAGGTTCAAATGTTCAAATAGCCCATCTGTTGATCCAACCCATAAGCATTCATATACACTACAGGCCGACCGACATATTAGCGGTCCATTACGCGATTCAACCCAACAACAAATTTTGGCCCCTGACACCATCTCGCTTTGGCAATCATTGTCGTTGATGAAGCATCCATTACCGTTCATTGCTATGAAGCCTATGATCTCCGAATCACTGAGAGCCGCCACCTCATAGAGGTTCGTTTATTCTCATTTCCACGCTCGGAACTAAACCCTAATCTCAATTCTCGCGTTCTGCTTGGTCATCACACAACGAAGGTGATTGTTACATTTTCAGTTTTGCGTTTCTAGATTTTGTGAAAACTTAGTTTACCCGATTTAATTTAGTATTCCTTTTGATCAATCATATCGTTTTCTGGCCACTACTTTCGTCATTATTGATTTTCTAGTGTTGATAATGGCGGACGACATGGCAACTAACGGAGATGTGTTCGACGATGCTGAGATCGGCGTGGAAGGGGAAGATGACTACGATGTTGAGTCGAAGACACATGCGCTGACCCAGAAGCTGGCTGCCTTGGAACAGGAAAAGCAGGAGCTGATTCATGAAAACGATCTCGTGAAGGAGAGAGTCGATAAACTGAAGAAGACAATCGAGGAGCTTGACAGCGAGAAAGCTGAGTTGCGGAAAAAATTGGAGAAATCGGAGTCGGAGAACAAGGCCCTTGGATCGGTGGCTGCTCGAGCATCTGAGCTTGAGGGTGAGGTGGCTCGCCTGAAGCATGATCTCACCACTGCTACGACTAAACTAAATGAATCAAACTCTGAGGTGTCTAATTTGAAGACGGCTTTGGATAGGTTGAAAGGCAGTAAGGAAGAGAACATAGTGAAACTTGAAGCAGTTGAGGCGGAAAGGAATCTTCTCGTTTCAAGATTGGAGAAGCTGGAGAGTAGTGGGATTAATCACTTGGCTGAGATGGAATCTAAGGAGAAGGAAATTGTATCTTTAAAGAAGGAAGTTGAGGATTTAAAGGATGCTTTATTGAGAAAGAAGGAGATAGATAAGGAGAAGGAGGAGTTGGTGAAGGAGAATGAGGAGCTGAAAAAGAAAACAATAGAAATGGCAGGGAGAGTGGCTGAATTGGAGAAAGAGATGAAGCAGAAGGAAAGGAAGATTTCTGAAAGGGCTATTGATGGAAATATTAACGGGATTGATGGGAAGAATTGTCATTTTGATCTTAAGAAAGGGTGGCCTGTTATTGCAGGATCTGCTGCAGCTACTATTGCTGCAGGATGTATTGTGTTCTACCTACATCAGAAGCAGAGGAAAGCTTGAATCACTTGCAGGATGAGGATTTTTGTCTGACGAAGAACTTAAATACAGTTTTGGTAGTAGCATTGCTATTTTGGCTTTAATGCTCAGGGTTTCTCCTTTACTTAATAGATAGAGGTTTTTATTTCCGTTGGCTATTAATAAGGTGATTTGCAACTAAGGCTAAACTGGATAGGATGAAGCATTTTCCAGTTAGTATATGCTTAATCTTTTGATTAACACACAAAATGTTTGCTTATAGTTTGCTATGCCTGTTTAGGTGTGCTTGTCCTATTGTTTCCATGAGTAGTGTTTTAGCCCCCTCATAGGTGTGTTTAAATGTCTTTTCCTACTGTTGGTTTGATTGCTCAGTTGGTGGAATTCGCCTGCTGTTTACTCTTATGTCTTATATTTTGTAATAATCTTGGCTTCCAATGCTGATTCTCAAATTTGTTCTATCTCTAGCTTCAGTTGGCTGCCCAAATGTGTGGATCTTTGTGGAGATGGTTGTGTGGTTGTTGTTAGAGATTACAAATTAATGTAGAAGTAGTATTGATCTTCTAGGTCGCTGTTAACGTCATGGCATTTTATTGGAACATTACAAATGTGTTTATTAGTGTGAGTTTGTAGGGGTAGAGAGGGTAAGGTATGCTTACATCACATCCTCCCAAACTGTTTGCTTACTGTACTTCTGAGTGGGACTTATTGGATGTGTGGTTTGGTTTGGTCCTTTCTGAGGAAAGAGCGATGCTTGAACGTGGTGCTAACACTTTATGAATGGGAACAGATTCAGCTTTAGCTATGTTGTGTCTATATGCATTTGTTGTTCATATGAACAAGATGAAGATGCATGTAAGAATCGACTCCATGGTCAAACGTGCTTGTTAGGGAGTTGTCTTACAAGTTATAATTCCCACCCAGTTGCTCCTAAACACAAGTTTCTTCAGCATTTTGACAGAAACCAGTCTTTGGTTGCAGTTTCAAAATGAATACTCCAATCCAATGCCTTTAACGTAATTGACAAAAGGGAATTTCCCTGCATTCTTGGCTACCACGTTGGAATGTCCAACACTCAGCATCGTAAGTAATTTTTTTTTTCTGATATCATATAACTTTAGCTTTCCACGTTTTCCCACTTGTCTCTTCTCTCAATCATACGTTGTAATATATAGCCTTGTCACTGAGTATTCTTTTTACTCTATATAAAAGACCCTTCCAACATCCTTCGTTACAACTATCACCAGGCAATCATCATTGTATGGTACATAGCGGATACTGAGAAATAAGAAACCGTCAATGAGGCAGGCTAGGTTTTATATATTTTTAACATGGTTGAATATCCTACGTATGAACGTTTTAGCGGTGTTTCCATGTGGTGTTTTTTTAGCTAGTTCTATCATGAATTGAACCATCCAACTAATTAGAATGTTTTTAATTGGGGTAAAATTTTGATTCGGTTTATTTAAGTTTGGTCTATTCTAGTAAATATGAAGTATGTAATGTATGTGTATTGTACTATTGTTTAATTGTAATTTATTTAAGGTTGATTCAGTCCGGGTTAGAAAAACAATTCAATTAAAAAAAATAGCCATTTGAAATCTTTACAATTTATTCAAATTAAGACATCTAACTCACATTGTGGCATTAATGAAACAATTTGTGTACAAAGATGGTCATGTAGTTCGGATGACCCAAGTCTAATTGATAGAGTATAATCCGGAGTATACCCTCAAAAGCCTTTACACAGAATCGGATAACCTATTATCGGGATGCTTCTCTCACCATATGAACTCGTCTCTCCATTATCACTTTCTTTCTCACTTCTCAGAATCTCAGCCATTGAGTTATACTACGCCCTAATGGCTGATGCTATGAAGATGAGGCGACTCTTGGGAAATTAGACATTCATCAAGAGAGGCTTGGAGTGGGTGGCCAATGAAGGGAGTCACACCAACCCAGAATAGAATTCTTATTTTACTTTCCGTAGAGCAAACGTAGATAAAATTAGATGTTGGGTGGCCAACATCTAACCCTTACTCCCAAAAGATATTGGGATGGACTAACATGTATCGATACATGATATCACCATCAAAAGAAAAATAAAGATAAAAAAGATAAGCTATTACAAAAAACATAATATAAAAGAGATGAATATACCTAAAAATGATAAAATAAAAAGGATAAAAATAATGTGTATATATAAGGATATAAGGATAAAAAAACAAGAAAAAAATGAGAGGAAAAGATAATACGAAATCACTCCTCCACACGAATACCCGTTCTCCACTTTGTTCTCTCCAAAGCCACACCATCATCCAACCCAAGAAGAAGCATATGACTTTGGACTCTCCTAACCCACGTCTGTTTGGGCCTTCCTCTCCCTCTCTTCCTTGCCTCTTGTCTACACGTCTCAACTCGTTTAACATGTGCATCACTCGATCTTCTACACACATGACCAAATCACCGTAGGCGCGACTTCTGCATCTTGTCTTCGATAGGTGTTACTCCCATGGTTGTCTCATTCCTCACATGGTCCTTCCTAGTATGTCCACACATCCAACGCAGAATGCACATCTCTACCACACTCAATCTTTTGAATATGACATTATTTCACCGCTCAACACTCTATGCCATACAGTAACACAGGTCTAATTGATTTCCTATAAAATTTACTCTTCAATCTAGTCGGCATACCTCTATCGCATAGAAATCCTGACGCACCCTTCCACTTCATCCTCTTTGTTCTGATTCTATCGGATACATCTCCATTTAACTCACCGTCCTTCGGAATTATGGAACCCAAGTAACGGAACATATCGTTCACCGGTATCTCCTTACCATCTAGAGTAATTTTGCTATAACCACTGCATCTACCTCCACCAAACTTGCACTTCATGTACTCTGTCTTGCTCCGGCTTAGTCTGAAACCCTTGTTCTCCAATGTTTGTCGGTATACTTCTAACTTTGCTTTAAAACCTAATTTCGTCTTGAATTGATTTCGTAAGTTCATCAATGACTATGACAAATAAGAAAGGGCTCAAAGTCGATCCTTGATGGAACGTAGATAAAATTGATAAAATAGAAAATTAGAGATGAGTTTCAACAAGGCTATCAAATTGGGGTTTTCCAATACAGAACTATCTTCTAAATACAGACTACGTATATGAGATGTAAATTCATGAGGAATGGTAAAAATTAAACTCTCATTCCATATAAAAATCACTTTTGCCGTACGTGGAGATTGGAATGACAAACTATGTTTATTAGCATTGGGATAATTAGTATATATTGAATTTTAAAGGAATTACCTTAATATTTGGGAGGGATAATAAGTGTAAAACGTAAATCATTTACTTGGAAAAAATGAAGTGCGGTATGTTACTCCGCAAGTCTGTATGTTATTTTGTGTTTGGTAGTTGGTACAAAGAGGAATACACCAGGGCTCGATCAAACAAAGAATATTTTTAGAAAAAAATTTATATGAAATTTTTTATCTTAAAAGTTAAGTCATTTTTAAAATTTGGGATGAGACATGGCCTAGGTTGGTCCCACCCCTAGTTCCGCCCATGGAATACACACTTTCTCTAATTCTCTTTTCTACCATCTCGCGTCACACGGATTCCATAATTCCATCTATTAATTATAAGTATAGGTTTAAATTAAATTAAAGGGAAAAATAATTTAAATACATCAAACTTTAATAGGGTGTGAGGTGTGTATCCCAAACTTGCATATGTAATACTATATATATACAAATACAAATTTATTGGAATACTTATATAATTTGAAATACCTTAAGCCTTGTTAGAATGCAATTAACATTCTAAAATTTCATTTTTGAAATAAATAATAATATTATTTGCAGTAGAATTTAATTTAATTGCATCCTCATAAATGTTTTGTGTATTTAAAATTATATACTTAACACCATAAAATTATATTTATGAAAACATATATGGTGCTAACATAACTTTTTATACTAGTATAAATTTGTATATATATATATATATATATATATATATATATAGAGAGAGAGAGAGAGTAATCTTCCGGTCCCTCCCTTCTTGACCGGAGAGCCGTCCGGCCTCCTCCTTTTGGTAGGGTTCCCGGTGGTATTTTTTGCTAAAATTATTTGTGTATGTTCCTCATCAAGTCTAGTTCATCCATACCAAATTTGAGTAAAAAATTCCATCGGAAAGACCGTCAAATGATTTTTGAAAGTTAACTGGTCCGTTAGACCGGCCTGACATGAACATTCCTCTCTCTCTCTCTCTCTCTATATATATATATATATATATATATTATAAGTGCAAATTTGGGATACTTATGTCACACACTATAAAAGTTTAGAATTTTAAACTATTTTCCCTTAAATTGATGTCCGGTCCATACTAAAATAATATCTAGCCCATCTCCGGCCCAAGCCTACTAACTGAAGTTCCCCGCTTGACACTTCCCACCTGCCTACCTGTGAACTAACGAAGCGGAAGCGACGAAGAAACGAATCCCTTCAGAGTCTACCCGACCGTCGTCGACTGTCCAGCTGCCCCGCCTATCTGCGCCGCTTTCCAGATTCCTGCGTTGGCCGTCGGCGTCCCTTCGAGGCTGCGATCTGCGTTGGCGCGTTGCTTCCTCCTGGCCTGCACAGCGGCACTCCAGTGTCGCCTCCGGCCTCTAATTCTATCCCAATCTAGATGCCTCCAGCCCTCCAGTAGTGCAGCTGTCCAGGTATAACCCATTTAATCTACTGAGTATTACTTTGTCTATTACCTTTTTAGGTTTTAAATTTTATTTGATCATTCATCGAATTTTTTAGTAGGTAATAAAATTGTATTTATTCATTATAATGATTAAATATAGTAAATTTCTTAATTCTATTAATTTCAAATTTGTTTCATAATTTTAGTACATTATAATTTCAGTATTATAGTTTGATATAGAATTGAAAATTAGAGAATATTTTCATATACAATGAAATGGATTTTACCTAGTACAAAATGCAGCTTGAGTTTGGTTTGGTGATTTTTGGTATTTGATTTGAAAGCTCGATAAATTTGATAAACATGTTCCAATGTAGAAGTTTAGACTATACTAGTTAATAGATTCGTGTTTGAATTATTGGATAAATACTCAAATATTTAATACTCATTAATAAATTATAAGACTGCACTGAAGACGTTTAAGTTTTAAGATATATATATATATATATATATATATATATGTAAATTATTCCTATAATCTGTAAGTGATCACTAGGATCGAGTCCAGATCAAATTGAAAATTAGCATGCTTGAAGTCTCAAACTCGGCTTGAATAACTATTTGATCTCAAAATCTAGAACACGTTCAAGTTCGAAGCGCGTTAAGCTCAGGTTGCTAAATTAGATTGGAAATCAAGATCGAACTCGACTAGTTCAAAAAGCTCAATTCTATAATAGCTCTAAGCTAAACCTTATGTTTTTAGTAGTAATTTTTTTACTGC